CACTCTGCCATCCACCTGCCTCCCATACAGGCCAAGGAAGGAAAAACACAGCTTAAGTCCCCTGGGCCCTCTGCCCCTCTGCCACTGGCCTAGCATGGAGGTGGCCCAGGACCTGGAGAGAAAGACTTGAGCAAACTTGGGGGACAGCCACCAACTCAGCCCTCACCGCTCAAAGCCCAGCATTTGTCAAGGCTGCATCACCTTTCTGAGGCTGGTCCAGGTCACAGTGCAGAGAAATTCACTCCTGCATGCCTTGGACAGCATTTATGGAGCACTTACTATCTGCCAATGCCTGGGCTGTCCCTGTGACAAAAGATGAGCCTATGTTCCAAGGGAACTGGCCAGTAGGAATGGTGTCATTTAAAATTTTCTAGCAGCCACACTTTTTTTGGGGGGGTCAGTCAAGGGGTTTGAAATCTGGGCCTGGGCACTGTCCCTCAGCTCTTCAGCTCAAGGCTAGTTTTCTACCACTTGAGCCACGGCGCCACTTCCAGTTTTCTAGCGGTTAATTGGAGATAAGTTTCACAGATTTTCTTACCCAGGCTGGCTTTGAACTGCAATCCTCAGATGTCGGCTTCCTGAGTAGCTAAGCTTAAAGCCATCAGCACCTGTCTGCCACACTTTTAAATAGGAAATAAGAACCAGGTGAAGGTAAAATCCACGTTAATACTGCAGTGTGTTTAACCTGTTATCACTTAACTGTCCCAACATCAAAGCATCAGTAAAATGCTTTCAGTTGTTTTTCTCCTGTTAAATTTTCCAAATCTGCTTACGGCACCCCCAAAATTAGACTTTGCCGTGGTTCAAGTGATTTCCCAGCTCTGGAAAGCACAAACTCACACCATGTGGCTAGTGGGAAGCTGGAGGTGGAAATGAAGCAAGGACAGAGGCTCAGGAGCAGGGGCAGTGGAGGGGTGGGATTCAAGGTAGAACTAGATTGGGGCTAGCAGGACCCTGAAGGACAAGAGGGAGAGGTCAGAAGGATCCCTGGGGGAGGGTGGGGCAGGAGAGGCTGCCATTCACAGACAGCTACGGTGGTCCTTCCAGGAGCAGCCAGAGGCCAGTGGCGAATAGGGTGCCACACGGTTAGAAGGCTCTGCAGCAGCTGAGCCGAGCACCAGTGGTTCACGCGTGTAATCCTAGCTACTCAGGAGGCTGAGATCAGAGGATCACGGTCAAAGCCATGAGACTCTTATCTCCAATTAACCACCAGAAAACCAGAAGTGGCACTGTGGCTCAAGTGGCAGAGCGCTTGCCTTGACATAAGAGCTCAGAGACAGCACCCAGGCCCAGAGTTCAACTGACAAAAGAAAGGAAGGAAAGAAGGAAGGAAGGAAGGAAGGAAGGAAGGAAGGAAGGAAAGAAAGAAAGAAAATAAAGGCTCTGCAGCATACTCGCTGCATTCTAAGAGTTTGTCTTTTATTCTTTCTCCTTCAGGAAGCCTTTCTGGCTCCCATCTAGATGAGTTCCTCCATGCCCCCACGGTCTCCTGCGCTTTCCTGTCTGGGAACCTGAGATAGTCTAGCAGTCACTATTTGTGTCTGTGTATCTGAGGGAGAGTCCCCTGGCTTCAGCTTGGGGAGACAAGGAGAGGATAGCTGTCACCTTATTTCCCTCAGCAGCCTCTGAACCCCTCACTCAGAGCCTCCTCCTTAGGCCACTCAACTTCCCATAAAATCAACCTTTTATTGAAATAGAAGAAGCAGACAGAAAGAACAGTGGGGAGAGGGGGCATGGTGTATGGTCCCATGAGGTTTCAGTTAAGCATCTAGAAGTCCCCAGGAGCGCCCCCCCCGACACATACTAGGTGCTTGCTGTCTTGACACAAAGGAGAAGGGTCATGCGGGCCCAGTAGTTGGGGGCCTCGGCAATGCCCAGTTCTCCATGTGCACAGAATTCATCTGGTCGTGAGGGACAGTGGTGAGGTCTCACCTGAATTCCTCTGTATATGAGTGCCGTGGCTCCATTCCTCGCATGTGTGTACCCCCTGCCCAGAGGCTCTTGTCCCCCCAGTTTGTTGACAATGATGATTAAAGCTTCTACGTGCATCTTGTCAAGGGTTTGGGGAATGTGTGTTTCATTGCTGATTTCTATTGGGCAAGCTTCAGGAGCAGAATTGCTGGGTCACCATGGGCATGTGTGCTCAGCTGTACTACCAACACCATCACACACTGCTTCCTACAGAAGGCCTATGTGGGTCACTGCTTCCCCTCCCCAGCCTTGCCAGCACTAGGCACTGCCAGTGCTTTGAAGACACTTGTTTGAAAGAGGAGGAAGGAAAGCTAATGCCTGGCATGTATTGAGTATTACCTGTGTACATCGCATCTCACATGGGATCGCTTCGAGTCACCACGGCAACCCACAGTGGCCAACACCACCATCATGTTCTGTTCTTACTCCTAGAAGCCCTGGCTTGGCCACAAGCACAAAGGAGTCAAGCCAGGCCATCTGACTACACTTAGCATCCTAGCCAGCCCAGCCCCTTGGAAGGAAGAGAAATGCTACCCAACTTCTAGCCTGCCTGTCTCCCCTCTTCCTTCCAGACCAGCTCCTAGTGCTGCAACCCTGATTCAACAGGCTCTGGTGGGAAGTGAGGAGCAGCCAGGCCAGCTGTTGACCAGCTCTCCAGGACAAGGTGGTAGGCATCTTGGTGGGGGCAATGGCAGTCATGGTAAGGACTGGCACAAGAGAGGAGAAACATCTGAGCATTACTTCCTAGAGGGGGCTCTGTAGCCAGAGTTTCAGGGTTCTGTTGCTCGCCTTTGAGTGATATACCTCACAGAGTCTTCCCATCTGCCAAAGAACGGCTAATATTGTTGGTGTCCACCTGCACCTGACCTCTTCTGCGGGAGGACCAGTGCTGGTTATGGACTATAGGGCATCAAGAGCGTCAGAGAGCTTCTGGGGAGGGGGACACTATGGAAGGCCCCCCTGGGGCACTGGTGGACAGCAGGTGGGAAAGGGAGAGTGGGGGCAGGTAAAAGGTCACATGGTTGGTGTTGGCAGCCGCAGTCTCCAAAGGAAGTCCAGGCTCTGCTCCTTTCTCCCTCCATGACCTGTGCCTCTGTTTCTTTAATGGTGTCATGGGCAGAATGTAGGGGAAAGGAGTTGGGAGGAGACTTGAATTCGGGCAGACCTGTGCTGTGTGTCCCCAGGGCAGGCTGTTTCATCTCTCTGAGCCTCCTCTTTCTCACCTAGGGCTGGGGAAGTCCTAGGAGCCAGGACAGAATGCCTATGGTGGCCTCCCCAAGGAGTGGGGACGCCGTGCTGGCCATGCCCCTGTTTTCCAGAGTAAGTCCAGAGTAGTGACCACTCAATGACTATTGAAATGTTTAATCAGAGCATTGGGCCCCTTTGCCATTGTAAAGATGGGGAAACAGGCCCAGAGAGAAGCTACAGTTTGTCCTTGCCCATATAGTGTCCAAAGTCTGGCAGGAGCACAGGCCTTCCCTCCCTAACAGCACTGTGCCTCAGTCTCCCTCCCTGACAACTTGGCTTCTGCAAAGAGATCTCAATCTCAAAGCTGTTGGTGGCCAGGAGTGTACTGTTGAACATACAGGGCGGAGCTGGGCATGGGGCAGGGGGGTTGGGGGGGTGGAGGTGGGGAGCCTCCGATGTGCCCAGGGTCAGGTGTCACCACCCAGAGATTACCCAGGCGCCTTACCTGCCAGGTCTGCCTCAAGGCAGCCATTGTCCCAGTGCTGGAACGGTGACAACTGACAGGCTTAGCTTGATGGCATCCGGGCCACCTTCCTCTGTGGCATGGGCTCATGCCAGGCTAGGCTAGTACCCAGTCTCCATATGCCAGGATCCTAGAGGTGCCTGGGCACCGGTTTCCTGACCTGACACAAGTACGTGTGTGACCAGGCAGGGCCCATCCAGGCCATCTCCAGGGCAGGAGACCACTGGTTCGAGGAAACCCTGGGGTACATTGCTTTCCAAAGTCATGAGATGTGTGTGTTTTTTATATTCTATTAAGTGGTACTGCTTTTTCAGGGTCTACATTTAATTTAATTATGTGTAAATACACATTTAGACTAAGAAGAGTCTATTGAAGAATAATTAGGCACAGCGGGCTTCGAGGAAGAGGACTTGCTTGACAGATGTGAGGCCCTGGGTTTGATCTCCAGCAATGCCAAAAAAAGTTAATGAGAATAGTGATATGTATCCAAAGGAGATAAATGTCAGGGGATTGACAGACACATGAGTGTGAGACTTGACACACCCTGGTCATAAGTGTGTGAGCATGGGAGCCCATGGACTCCGTGGCTCACACAGAGACCTCCATCACTGGCCTCTGTGTGTCTAAATCCTTCCAGGCCTCTGAAAGTGGGCTTTCTCTCTCTCTCTCTCTCTCTCTCTCTCACACACACACACACACACACACAAACACACACACAAACACAAACACACACCACACACATATAGTGTACAGCTACACCCTGGCATAGAGGAAGTGTTCATAGCTCCCTCTGCCTCAGAAACCCACCCAAACTAACACTTATCAAGCTTCCTGTGTGCCAGGCACTGTCCTAAAGGACACACTGAACTGTGATCCCATTGATTAATCTTCACAATGGCCCTGGGAGATTGCTACAAGAGCCCGCCAGGAAAGCGGGCTCTTGCTGGTGAAGTGCTGCCCAGGCCACAGCAGAGTGGAGGCAGAGTCAAGACATGAACTCAGGCCACAAGCCAGTCTGCTCACTCTGAGCCTCAGCTTTCTGATTTGTGTAACTTTGAACAAGGTCACTGGCTACCTGTGCTTCCATTTCCTCACCACCAGGTAGTTGTGTGGGTTAGATGACCAGTGCATGCTCTGAGCTGGGCAGCCATCAAGTACAAGCTGCATCCACTGCCTCCCAGACCCCAAAGCCCACCAAAGGGCCAGAAAAGCCGCACATTGGTTTGCTACAATGAAAAGACAGAAACATGGCATGTTGGTAAGGGCCTTTCTTCTGTTTATTGTGAGGCCCCCAACCCAGGCCTGTCCTGCTCACAACCTGGCCAGGAAAGCAGCCACCGTGCAAGAAGACCTGCCCAGCAACTCTGCTCAGGGGCTTCTCTGTGGTGTGCTGTGGACAGCTGGCCAGGAATCCTGCTGCGGTCAGTCCAGCTTCAAGTCCAGCACCAGGGCGTTCTGATAGGAGAAAGGAACAGGAAGTGGGGATGAATGAGGAGCATTGGCAGGGGCCTCCAGGCCCAGAGATGAGATGGAATCAGGCCAGGGCTAGGAAATGGAATTCAGTGCAGTGTTTAAATAAATCCTGAAGCAGACTTGCCTTGGACCCAGGGGAAGCCCCTTCACCTCTCTGAGCCTCTGTTTCCTCAAAACCCCTCCTCCCAGAGCAGAGAGATTAGATGAGAAAAATATACACTTAATACTCCAGGCGCAAAGACTAGCATGCAGTGAAAAGCTTATAGTTATTGAGCACTTACTTTTGCCTCTAGGTGACTTATCTAAATAAATCCTATGGGGTGGATGCCTACATTTCCATCTCTGTTTCAAGCACAGGAAAATGGAAGCATAGAGAGGTCATGTCATTTTCCCAGGTGGCAGAACATGAGTGTCAGAGTCCCCTGGTCAAGGAGGCTCTGAGGGCCAGGCTCCAGCTCTCCAAATTGGTGGGAATTGATGGTTTCCTGTCCTCCAAGCCCACCCCTTCCTGTCTGAGAGAGGCGGACTCCTGCTCATCACCCATGGGCAAACATGTTGATTGACATGACCTTCCCAACCCCTCCCCTCACCTCTACTATGTTCATTTCAGCCATGTTGTAATTGATAGCCAGAAGGTCTGGCAGTGGGAATCCCACTTGGAGTACATCTGAGAAATACAAAAAGAGTCATCTCAGCTGGACTTCTCTGCCACCATTAAGAGCTTCTCAGACAAAGGGTGAACAAATGCAGCAGTGGTACTCATTGGACACTGTGGAAAATAAACTATACAACTGTGAGCAGGGACAGGAAGGAAAAACTGGGAGAGAACAAGGGAAGGGGTGACATTGTCCAAAAAGAAATGTACTTTTTGCTTGCCTTGCATGCATGAGGCCCTGGGTTCAACTCCCTAGCACCACATAAGGAGAAAAGGCCACAAGTGGCGCTGTAGCTCAAGTAGTAGAGCACTAACCTTGAGCTGAAGAGCTCAGGGTCAGTGCCCAGGCCCAGAGTTCAAGCCCCACAACCAACAACAACAACAACAAATGTACTCTCTACCTGACTTATGTAACTGTAACCCCTCTGTACATCACTTTTACACTAACCATTAAAAAAAATTATTTTAAAGCTTCCCAGAGCAGAGTGGTGTGGGAAGTAGTGCAGTGCTTGATTTGTAATGCCTGCCAGCAGCACCAGCAGAGAAGCATGGGATCTGCCAGGTGTTTACTCCCTGCCCCACCCCCGCCCCAGCCCCAGCCAAGTCTCATCATGATGTGAAGTCAAGAATCAGAGTACAAAGTATGGGACAGAGTTTCATCCTCAAGCCCTCAAAGGGACACAAAAACTACATTAGAGGGCTTGGGGTCTAGCTCAAGTGGCTGAGCACCTGCCTAGCAAATGTATCCTGAGTTCAAACCATAATACCATAAAAATAAGACCAATTTTCAGCCTCCCCATTCTGGAGGGTCCCTTCTTGGCTCCTGTGGGCATGCTCACCATTCACCCTGGGGAGATAGGCTTCTTGGAGGTAGTCAGTGGTGAAGCCAGTTAAGTCCTTGGCCTGGAAGAGGAAGAAGGGGAGAAGACATCCATAAGCTGGCATTTGTCGTCCTGCCATGCAGTCCAACCAGCTCCACACATCTTTTGTTGGAGATGTCTTGTGGCTTTGTGGCTTGTCCAGCAGGCATCAAACCCGGGTTGTGTGGCTGCAGGCGTGTGCCCGTCATCTCTGTTTATCTCTGTGGGACTTGGGTCAGACTGCAAGAATCTGGACACTCAGGAGACATAAAGGGATCCATTTCTACTCTGATAGAAAGCTCGGGGCTTTGCTCAGCCTGTCTGTGCCTACGAGCATGGGATGTGGTGGCCCCTGCTTATGGGCTTTCTGTGTGGGTTAAACAGTACAAAATAAAAAAAAAGACAGATCGTGTGATGTGAGTGTGGCTGTGTTATCACCCACACCTGCTGTGTTCAGGTCTGTGTTGGGCCCTAGAAAAATCACAGCTTGGCCAACCACGGCCAGCTTAGCCCTCCACTGCCTATCCGGTTGTTTTAAAAATCAATCCAGGGAGATGTCCAGGTTCTAGCTACAAAAGGAAACAGGGACTCAGAGAGGTTAAGAGGCCTTTCCCAAGGTCACAGAGCAAGTCAGAGACTCCCTCAAGCCTCTTGATGGGCTTGCTTTTGCACTCTCGCCCCCATCCCCAGAGCCTCTCCCTTGCAGGCCCACGAGGGAACAGGCCTAGTCTTGCCCTCCAACCGGGGAGGCAGAAGAAGCACTTTGGAATGCTTACATTAAAGTCACCAACTGATGAGGACCCCCGGGACAGTCCCAGTAATCTGTGGGGAAGGAAAAGCCGGGCAGGGGATGAGGGAGGGGATGATGGTCAGACTCATTGACCCCATGTTGAAAAAGAGGCTCTCAACCCTGCCCCCACCCCCACCCCCAGGCTGCAGGCACTCCTGAGTTCCTAGTGCACGCCACCTGTGACAGGATACTGGTCACCTGTCATTAGCGCCCATTTCGTCTCCATCGTTCCTATCACTGAACTCTTCAGCACCTCCTCAGGCTGGCCCTGCACTGCCCTGGGGACCCCTGTCATGTCAAGCATGAAGGAGCTCATAGCTCTGTAACCACCAGCCTCAGGTCCTTGCAGGTCACAGGGTGGGAGCACCCCTTCTCCTACCTGTCCAGAGAGGTAATCATCTGTAGTCGATTCTCATGCACTGAGTACTGGACATCCAGACTGAAGTGCTGGCATGCAGGGAAGAAGCAGGGAGAAGACAGTGCACCCTCCCTGCACCTGGACATCATGACCACTACTGTCCATCCTGCCCCCCCAGGAACAGCCCTGCAGCCTTCCCATACCCCTAGCCCAGGATCCTTGTCCCCTCTTGTCCTGGATTAAGACAAAACCTCCCAACCTATCTGGCGCCATGGTGGGTCCCCCCACACACTGGGCTATGGCTCTAGGTCTTTACTCATGCTGCACCCTCTGTTTGGGGTATCCCCAGCCAAGTCAGTCCCCCCTGACCTGCTCCTGCTCAAAACAGAACTCAGCTAGCACCTCATCTAGGAAGTCCTTTGTGACTTCTCCAATGTAGATTTGGGCCTCTCTGGGCTTGTGTGGTTCCATTTTTGGGGTCCCTTTACTGCCCTGTTGCTGCTAAGGAATGTTGGAGAGAGAGAAAAGGGAGGAGAGAGGGCCTGGTGTGCTGATCTCGCCAGCCGTTTACAGGTGCAGCGGCAGAGTCAAGGGCCAGGCAGCAGGTAAGAGTGTATGGAGGTCAGGCACACTGTGGATATGAACCAAGGACCCTAGCATTCATTTCTTGTCTATCTAGTAAAGTGCACCCTCCTAGCCTGGAACATGCATGCTGAGAGCAGACTGCACTCACCGTCTCCAGGAGAAAGAGAGACACGGGGGCCTTGCCCTTGCGCTTAGCTGCAAACATCTCCAGAGTGCCATGGAGGTGCAGCAGACTCTTGCCGGGCTCCATGGTGACCTTGGGGGGCTTCTTTATCCTGATCTGGGTCACCAAGCTCTTTGACTTGGGATAGGCCTCAGCCACCTGCAGAAACCAGGGCATTCCACTGAGGACCGGTCCTGAAACCCATGGTTCCCATTACATTCGAGAGTCCTTCATACAATAGGCACTTTCTACCACAGACACAGGCAGTAAGGTGGGCACAAGCCAGGGCTCCCCATCAGGAAACAAAAGGAGCAAATCACACCGCTGGCGATTTCTCTATTGGATGTAGGATGGATAGTGTGTGAAGGCTGGGCCTTCTTATGCTAGACCCAAAGAGTACTTTATGGAGGCATGGGGATGTCTCCACAGTGGACTGGTGATGTGGGGTATTGCAAAGCTACCTCCCAGCTCCTTTCCCTTCATGTGGAGGGCAGGCCAGAGTGCTGCGGCCACAGTGGGAAGTAGGGGACACTCACTTGTGGAATGAAGCCAGCCAGGGTCTTTGTGGTTTGTGGGGGAAGCTCACCAATCTACAAAATCAAAGTCAAAATGAGGGTGACTGGAGCTCCCAGCCCACCCTAACAACCATCCTCTGGCTCAAGATCCCTGCACACACACACACACTGACCTCTCCACTTGACAACTAGATAAGGAGCTTCTGGGTGACCCAGAACACGCCCTACACCTTCCAGTGCCCATGGCTCTCAGCACAAGGTCAAACAAAGAATATTGGAGGGAAGAGCCAGGGCAGAAATGTGAGAATAGATGGATGGTGAATGGAGGGAGGGTTTGTAGATAGGAGGGTTTGTAGAGGGATAAGGAAGTGGATAAACAGATGAGTGATTGAAGGGGTGGAAGGATGAATGAATGGGTGGAAGGATGAATGGATAGGTAGAAGTATGAATGGATATGTAGGAGGATGAATGAATTGGTAGGAGGGGGAATGGGTGGATGTGAGGGTGAATTGGTGAGTGGGAGGGGGAATGGGTGGGTGGAAGGATGAGTGGATGGGTGGGAGTATGGATGGATGAGTGGGAAGGTGAATGAGTGGGAGGGTAGATAGATGGTTAGGGAGAAGATGAATGGATGGTTGGGAAGATGAATGGATGGGTGAGAGGATGGATGGGTGGGGGAATGAATGGGTGAGTGGGAGGAGGAATGGCTGAGCGGTGGGGTGAGTGGGTGAATAGATGGTTAAGTGTGAATGGATAGGTGAGGGTGGATGAACAGAGGATGAAAAGAAAGTGATGGCCAGGAGGCTGAGATCTGAGGATCGCGGTTCAAAGTCAGCCTTGGCAGGAAAGTCTGTGAAACTCTTATCTCCAATTAACCACCAGAAAACCAGAAGTGGTGCGGTGGCTCAAGTGGTAGAGCGCTAGCCTTGAGCTGAAGAGCTGAGGGACAACGCCCAGGCTCAGAGTTCAAGCTCCATGCCCGAGAAAGAAAAGACAGAAAGAAAGAAAATAAAAACATGAAAAGAAAGTGATGGCTGGCCAAACCACTAAATAGGTGGCCACATGGGCAGTTGGATGCATGGATGGGTAGATGGTGGTCACATGGACCCAGGGGTGAATTGACCACAGAACCTACAGCCACTCTGGCATCTCCCAATGCCAGTGTTACCCACAGCCCCTGGGGGACACACTAGGCAGATGGGGTAGGGGCACTGGACAGTCACCTTCTTGCCCTTGATTTTCACATCCAAGGACTTCTGCAGAAGCGCCAGCTCCGCGGTGAGGAAGGCAGCTGACAGCAGCAGCTGTGACGAGTCTTTGACAGAGTCCTCGGGGAACCCGGGTGCCACCCCGTCGCCATCAGCCTGGATGGCCTTGCCCTTCTGAGGCTGCACCACGGTCTGCGGGAGGGACATGGTGGTGAGGGGCTCTGTGGGGCTGGGCCTCCGCACTCCAGACTGATAAAGGCTCAAACCAAGCTACACATCAGCCAGTCAGGACAGCCATGGGACTTCCTGGCACACAGGAAGGTAGACTGCAGCCTTAGGAGGCAAGGGAGTCAACCACTAGTCCCCTGGCAATTCCTCCTAGAAGAGCTTTGCCCATCTCGCTGGTCTAACTCAGACTTCTGGAGCCCTCATTTCTCCAGAACACAATTTCTGGTGTCCCGGGCCAGGGGTGGGGGTGGAGTGGGAAGGTGAGGGGACTTCCCAGGAAGACGACTTTGCAGGACTCAACTCTCCATCCTTAGAAGAAGATGCATCTCCCTTGTCACCTCACCCAGTAAGAATCCAGATCTGCCTCTAGCTTATGGGGTCCGCACCAAAGCCCACCTCCCCTGAGTCTCAGTCAGCAACAATATCTGCACAGGAGCCACTTATAGCAGGAAGCAGACAGCCCTGGGAGAAACCCCCATGTGGAGATGGTAACCCCCAAATCAGTGGAGACACAGGGGCCTACGCTGCGCACAGAGGGTTCCAGCCTTAGAGGACGTCTTCCCGCCCTCTTCAGCCCCCGCCTAGCACTTCCACCTGAGCCTCACAACTTACACTGAAGTCCACCTGGATGTGGCTGGCAGTGGTGGCCGGTGAGGACGCCAGGACGTATTGGACCGTGCCCATCTGGCCCACAGGCAGGACATCTGTGCAGAGGACCCTCCATTCAGGCGCAGACCCCAGAGTAGGTGCTAGCCCAAAAAGCCACCTGCTTCTCCCCATGTCCCTCTCTGGGACCCCAGGCAAACTACTCAGCTTCTCTGAGCCTCAGGAAGGACAGCTGCAGGGTGGAGGCAATGGCGCCTGGCGGGAAAGAAATCGTACCACTCTGCCAGCCTGGGCCTCACTGAGCAGTGGAGCGGATAGGCTGTTCCACAGACAGCAAGCCACGGCTCAGAGGATGGAGTGACTTTTCTCCTGCGCCACCCCCCTTCATTGCTGGCGACATGAGTCTGCTACTGAGATTTCCTTTTCCCCACACTGGGCCCAAAAATAAGAGAGGCAGCAGTTGTTAGGCATCTCCACTTCAGAGATCACTTGGCAGGACATAGAGCTTAGGGATATAGGCAGAGTGGCTGCTGGCTGGAGCTCTGGCTGCAAAGATGAAGGAGAGGACCCCATTGTCTCTCAGGGCCTCAGTTTGCCAACTGGGCAGTATGGGACACCATGATCTCAGCCATCCTCTAGTCCACTGGCTGGGCTGGAAGCAGCCCCTTGAATGGAGTTAGGAAGGCAGGGGTATCTAGCTGTGCCAGTGACCTGGGGTAGGGGCAGGTATGGACAGGTATGCTCACTGTGCATGCTGGCCCACTTCTTGTTCACATACACCAGGACCGCATCAATGGCTGGGCACATCTGCAAACAGAGAAGGCATCGGGCTGTCAGGGCTCTGCCTGTGGTCTACATTCATCACAGCTCAGGGGAACTTCCTGAGGAGTCCAGAGAGCCTTGACAGGCCTAGAGGTGAAACAGAGGCTCCAAGTCCCATAGAAAGTCAGCAGCATGGAAATCAAGACTAGTGTTCAGGTCTGACCACAGTTTGCAACGTGCTGGAACTCATCCCCCAGGGTCTGGTCAAGCTACACAAGGTTAGCAAGCTGGAACACATGGGATCCTGTTTCCTCTGCCTATGTGCATGGCAGACATCACTAGATGATCACAGCACCTCCTTCCCCTAAGCCAGACAGCTATCATCAATCAGTCCAGATCTGTGGCTAAGGGAAAGTGCCTCCCCTCGCTGGCTGAAGCAATGCCAGCGAGGGGAGGCAAGGGCTCACTCCAGGTCACTTACCAGGTCGGGGAGGACTTTGTGCAGGGTGCTGTCTATGAACTTGTTGATCACCTTGGGCATCATGCTAGATACATGCAGCAAGGAAGATGAACAAGTGCATCAATGACAGGAAGGGAGGAAGAGGACATAGAGGAACATGATTTTGGAAGTTCGAAGACTCAAAAAGAGGGACAGTTCCGGCCTTCCTCCCCAGCCACCAAGCCCCTCACTTGCTAGGCAGGTTGGTCTTCATGCTGCCCAAAATGATCTTACAGTCCTCGCTTTTGAACATGGGGAGGCCTGTCTCCTCATCTTGCAGAAGCCGGTTGGTGGCTGTGATGTTCAGAACCACAGTGATCTCCATGTTGGCCCCTGTGAAGCTGGAGAATGGAGCAGGCGGGCACTGTGAGTTTCTCTGCCATTCAGGCCACCATCCCCATTACCCTCTGTGCCCAAAACCTCAGCATCTCTTAGACGGGGAGAAAGGGAGGGGCCATCTCAGCAAGACAGAAAAGAGGACGGGACCTCTCCAAGTCATATAGTCAGACTTGCATATCTCTTCTTGCTCTGGTGAACTCCTATATAACCTTCAAAACTGTCCAGCTATTATCACCTCCCCAAAGCTTTTCTTATCCTCTTCCCCTTGTCCCCTTCCTCCCCCTCCATTTTTAGACCAATTGTTCTGCCTGAAGTTAGCTTGCTCTGGATCCCATCAAAGTAAGAACCAAGTCTACAACATAGCACCCAGATAGTACCCAGCAGATGCACAGTAAATGTGTATCTAAAGGTGAGACAAGATGGCCTTTCTTCCCCTCCCCTGCCATGCTCACCTCTTGCCGGTGATGGTCATGCCTGTGGACACACACTGGAAAATGCCCACTCCAGGCACAAAGTTCAATGTGATGACGGGTACAAGGACGTCCTTGACCTTCACGCTGGAGGGAGAGGCATGCACAACTCTAAGATCTGATTAGGCAACACCTGGGCCCTCTGCCCACTCTCTACCACTCTGCTGATGCCTGTGGGTGGTAAACCTCTCCTGTGCCACAGGGATGGGGAGACTAGCCTGTCTTGTAGGGCCATCAACAGAAGGCTAGACAGGAATCCACCACAGGTAAGGTTATTCTCAGGGCTGGTTGCATGACCTTGGGCTGTTCTCTTTCCATCTGTGGGCCTCACTTTCCCCATCAACAAAACAGGAAGATTTGCATAGATCTGGGTTCATTGACGATGGCATTCTTGATATTCCTGTGTGTTGTAGAATGTTTCCTAGCAGCTCTGATCTCGACCCATGGATGCCAGTAGCACTCTCACACAGAAATCTTGACACCAAAAGATATCTCCAGATATTGACAGATGTCCTCCTGGAGGCACAATCGCCTTTGATTGAGAACCACCGGTAAAGATTCTGGATAGCAAAGTGTGGCATCCATACCTCCTCTTCCCATGCAACCTGACCTCTGAACAGACATTGCTAATCAATCACACACCTGTTCCTGCTGAGTCCAGGCAGTACCTGAGAGCTTTCCCCCAAACATCAGTCCAGGCAGCCCCTTTGGATCAATCCCCTACAACACTTAAGAGCAGATTATTGAAACCTTCTGGCTCTACCGCTTGAGGGCTTTTTCACCTAACTGGAATAATTCAGTGGTTGCATGCAGGGAGTTAGAGCTTGGCTTTTCTTCCTCAAAGGGACCCTAGGCAAGAATCCTCTGTAGGGGGATGTCCATAGTCACATGGCAAGACAGCCCAAGGCAGAAAAGAGGTCTGAGCCTGTACCAGTGGATTCTCCAGGCCTTGGATGCCACAACCAGGCCAGCTCTTTGCCTGGTCCAGCCATCCCCTTCCCCTGCTTACTTGCTGAGGCCTTTGATAGGTTTGGCCCCTGGTCGCTTTGCACCAGCCTCGGCTGCCATCTTCTCCAGGATCTGACTCTCCTCCATGGCACTCTGGACTTCTGCAGGGAACAGGGTCAGGAGGCACTCAGCTGGGCCCCCCCTGCTCCGCTGCCCTGCACCTATCCCTTGTGCATCCCAGACCACTTCTTAGCACTGCAGTGCAGTAGCAAATGAGGGAGGGGTGGGGAGGGAGCCACAGCAGGAACCATAGCTGCAGGAACCCTAGAGGGGTTCAGGCCCAGAAAGGAAGAGCTGAGCAGGCAGACAGGAAAGACAGGTATCTTTCTGGTTCTAGGAGGAGGAAGAGGAGGAGAAAGAGGAGGAAGAGAAGGAGGGTCCACCAGGAAGCTGGGCAGAGGGCTGGCAAGGGCAAAGGAGAGGAGGGATTGGGAGAGTGAGAATTCTGAAAGTAAGCACACAGGGAACCAAGCTTGAGGCCTTGAATGCCAGGCTCAGGCCGTGGCTTCTGGGGCCCACGCCCTCCCAGACGGGGTGCCAAATGGGCTCATCTGAGACCTTGTTAAAAGGCAGGTTCTAGATAGCTAGAGATGCCAATTCCCCTGCTCTAGACATCCCAACCCCAGATGAGACCCTGCCAGAAACCTCTCCAAGATGGCCACAGATTTGTTTCCAGAAAGGAGACAAATACTGGAATGAGTTGTCCTAGCTTTTTATGCCTGAGCTCAACTCTGTCCATTTCCCTGTAGCCATGGAGCTGAGGTTGGAAAATTAATTTTACTGAGAATTTCTCACAGTGTAGGGGTGCTAACTTCTCATTGGATTCTACCAGGGAAGGCTGCTGCCTTATTTCATATCTTTGTTTGTTTTTGTGCCAGTCCTGGGGCTTGAACTCAGGGCCTGGGCACTATGCCTGAACTTTTTGGCTCAAGGCTAGCCACAGGTCCACTTCCTCCTTTGTTGTTGTTGTTGTTGTTGGTTAATTGGAGTTAAGAGTCTCACAGACTTCCCTGCCAAGGCTGGTTTGGAACCAACACTCAGTTCTCAACCTCCTGAATATCTGTTTCACATTTCTTTACCTTTACAGATGGACAAATTGTAACACAGAAAGCTGCCTGAAGTCAAACAGCAAGTTGTTGGCAGAGCTGGGATTTGATCCCCAGTCTGACAACTCCATAGCTCATGTGTGATCATCAACCCCTGTCATCAGAACCAAGGAGGGACTCTGAGAAAATGGAACTTTTATAGCTTTAACGTAAACTCTAACCTAAGAGCACTAGGGAACATCATTTCATTTGCCCTGGTCTTCAATTCCCCCCTCGGCACAATGGGAGAATCATAGGAACACATTTCTTATAAGGTTGGTTTGCCGACCACAGGGAGCTAAGACCCAGCAGACATAAGCAGTCACTCCGTGCCGCCTGCCCTGTGCCCACTCCTGCCCCCAACCCAAGCCTGCAATCTCACCGTGATTCAGGATGTCCATGCCCAACCGCAGCAGTGCCCCAGGCTCCGCCCGAATGCCAGTCAGCGGGCCACAGAGGGCCAGACACAGACACAAGATCTGCAGCATCTCCACCTAGATCCAGGGACCCTGATTAGGTGTGGTCCACCAGGACTTGTGGCCCTGGAGATCACCTGTGCTCAGAGCGGATGGGACTCTTTTGGCTGCAGTTGGGGTCCAGGAGCCCCAGGACTCCAGACAGCATAAAAAAATGACAGTAGCTTTTTCACCTCAGCAGAGCATATCCCTCTCTGTGCCTCAGTGTCTTTATGGGCCAGATGCCTCTCTGACCAGCCTGTGACACAAGCCAGTGGGATGTGTGCATGAGTTTAAGGCAGCTCACTGGGGAGTTCTAACCTACCTGCTCCGGGGACACCCCTTCCCCTCCTGCAGGGCCCCCTTCCTCCTCACATCCCTTCCTCACCACTTCTAAAACCTCAATCCACTTCCAAAGGTCTCCTGAAACATGGCGTCACCACTATGGAAACTGAGGCACATACAGGGTCTCTTAGCCGGTGCACAGTAGGCTGAATAAAAAAAACCTCCCACTGGGAGTGTGGCTTAGTGGTAGAGTACTTGCTTTGTATGTATGAAGCCCTGGGTTCAATTCTTCCATACCACATATACAGAAAAGGCTGGAAGGGGTACTGTAGCTCAAGTGGTAGAACCTTGAGCCAAGTGGGGGGGGGGAGGAGGACAACAAAAACACCTTCCACCCCAGACCCTTCAAAGATTTCCCTCTCAGAAAAATCCCTACTCCACTTGAACTCCCCCAAGAAATCTCTGCCTTTACTTACCAAGACCTGAAATTCTCCCAATCAGGGGCCAAGCGTGGAGTTTGGGTTTGAGCTTTGGCTGAAAGGAATCAAAGAGGGTCCATGGCAGCGGGGCCAGCGTCAGCCTGGAGAGACTGGACTCCAGCTGGACTTGAGCCGACTGAAGACTCAGGCACCAGTGCTCCTCTGAGTCTCAGGATGGGCCTTCCCATGCCCCACCTTTCCAGCCAAGCCTACCTCATACCATCTACCCTCCATCAACTTGCCTTGACTGGAAGCCTCCTGTGTGCCAGACAGGGAGCTGCCTGATTTCCCTTCCACAGTCCTGCCTCTCCTGAATCTTAAAGTATGGACAGGGAGGATGGTGAGAAGGGCTGGAATGGGGTCAGGGTCAAGGTGGTCAGGAGGAAGGACTCTCAGAGGTGAAGGTGTGTACGGGGAGACCCAAAGTATAGGAGGGAACCCAAGTACAAAGAGCCACTAGCTGAAATCAGGACCTATTTCTTCTGCCCCAACCAATTTCTTAGTGTTCTCTGGGCTCCTGTGGATAGATGGAAGGGTTGCTTATAGTTGTGAGCTCCAGGATATCTTCAGAGCTCTGTTCAGGGCAACAGGCTAGAAGATGTCCTGCGAAGGTCTCCTCCCACCCTGGCCCATCTCATAGGGGCCTACAAAACCCAGCCCCAGCTCTCATTCCCAAGGCTAGAACTAATGCCAAGATCCCGGCTGCTCCAGGCAGGAGGTCCATCTGTACAGGGCAGGGATTTTCACTGAGAATGACACATGACAGGTGGACATGGTTGTCTAGGTGTTTCTAGGGAGCAATGGTTCATTCCAGGGTTCTGTTTCTGATTGTGCTTTTACCTCATCTTCCTTCCCTCCACCCATCCATAACCTGCTCCCCCTTGAGGCCTCATTTCAGCCCTTACCTCCTTGGCCAGGAAGCCTTCCTCAACCTCCAGATGCCACCATGCTCAAAACCACAATTCGAACCTGACCTTCAATAGAGCCCACCCGCCCGTGGTGAGTGTCCCCTGCCATTCCACCTGTGGCCTTTGCTCTTGTTTTTGTCCCTACTGGGAGCCCCGACCTGTACCTAGATACCCGGCACAGCCTGAGGTTCCACATCTTGCCTCCCCTCAGCTCCAAATGGAGCCCAAGGAAGGCGATGCCCTGCTGTCACCTTGATCTTTTCACATCTAACAGGGCCATGCCTACAAGCCATTTGTTCACACCACCAATTAGATGCGACCTCATCCCCTGTCTGGGCCTCGGTTTTCTTATCTGTTAAATGGCAGGTCTGGATGCAGCACCCTGCAGAGCGCCCCAGGTGAGAGAATCTCTCTTACCTTGTGAAACTCAAGGAAGTCCTGCAGATGGCTGACCTTGTCTCCTGACCCTGAGACGAGGAAGCCCTTATATTCAGGAGGCTGATTAGCCGCTTGGATAATTAAGGGTTTAATAAGGGCTAGATAATTATCTAGAGGCCCCAGTGCTCACGTGGGGTTCGGTCTGTTCCAATGTAAATAGCCCAGACGGCGAGGGTAGCTGTACAAGAGGAGGCACTGGGGACATCAGAGCCCTCCACGTCCCCTCTCTCGGACTGGGCACCTCCGCCAGGGCTGAGCAAACAGAAGGCACACATGGACTCCTTCCGCTGATATTGATTAAGCACCTACTGAGTGCCAGGCCAGGGGAGACACTGGCATGAGCTGTTGGAGTTCCCACCCTGAGAGGGGGAGCGGGCACTATGCAGGTTGCCCATCGCAGGACCTGAGGGAGGCAGGCAGGGGAGGAAGATGTAGGAACATCCTCGGGGCTGAGTGGCCCTCTTGCCAAGGATGTGTTTTGATACCCTGGGGGCTAGCAGAGTCACCTCTGCCAGGCAGGACTGGGAGCTCAGTGAGCCCACAGGTACTGGGACAGGAAAGTGCTGGCTGGCTGGCTGACCTGTGTCCCTGAGACCCCCTTCCAGAGAGCAAGGACCAAGTCGGCTGCCCTCAGAAGGACCACACGGAGGAGAGGCAGGGCCATGGACATCGCTGGGCCCCTAGGGGCTCTGTGTTCATGGAGGCAGAGCGGACTGTACAGGGTCAAGGACCGGCCAGTCAGAGGTGGGGCTCAAACCAGAACTGGGGTGCCCAGCCTTGGCTTGGCTCCCCAGAAGCTCCACAAGGAGGTCAGGCTTGTTATATCTCAGGTGAGGACATCTGTGCTTGATGAACCCCAAGGGGCTGGGGCAGGGGGCTGAGTTTTCCTACCCATGCATGCCCCAACCCCGGTGGGGGGAGGGGGTAGCCTGCAGATCTGGAAGATGAAAGAAGCCACAGTGCCATGCATACCTGCAGCCATTGAGGAGAGTGAGGGCTAGGCCTGAGGTCGCTCAGTGGGGCTGGGTCTGCAGCCCAGATGCTGCTGAGCTGGGGGAGTGGCAGCAGAGAGCATCATTTCATCCCTGCTGACCTGTCCACCAACAGGACAGACGGCCCCAGCCTCCTGTGCCTGCAGATTCCGGGCTGTGCCCTTCCCCCAGCCCATTCCTGCAGCCCTCTTTCCTTGGGCCATGGTGGGGACAAGATAAGGAGGGGGGCAGGAAGGACACAGGTGGGACCCGATAGCAGAAGCCCCCTGGAGTGGTTCTGGCACTTAAGGCCAGTCCCAGCCACCACCCTCACCAGCCATATGGCCCCATCACCTCCTTCCACCTCCCCCAGCAGCTGTCATCCTTTAATAGGAGAAGAACATTACACAGCACCGAGTAGTAACAGGAGCCATCTCGTGTGCACTTTCCTTGGGCCTGCTGTTGTGTACGTTGTTTGCTAAGAAGCACAAGCCCATTTACTCCTCAGAACTACCCAATAAGGATGAACCTGAAGCTCAGGGAAGTCAAGCCATCTGCCCCAAATCACACAGCCAGTGAGTGGACATAGCCAAGGAATCCAAGGGGCTCCAAAATACAGCCAAGACCTTCAAGACTAACTCAAGACTACTTTTGTGACTTTCCTCCCACTGACTCCCACTTCTTAAACACTGGAGATGAGGATAGACCTGAGGCAGGATCATCTTTCTGCCCTCAAGTCTTCTGGGGCCCTGCAACAGTGACCCCCCAAAGCCCTAGGGATCAGGCTAGCCCTCTTCAGCAAAGGCACTGGCTTCCTTCTAGGCAGGTAGCTTCTTATATAGAACCAGATGCATCACAGATACAAAAAAAAAAAAACCCTGGCCAGTTGGAAAAAGTTATTGAATAAATGGGTAGATGTATAGATGAATGAATGGATGGATGGATGGATGGATGGATGGATGGGTGGGTGGATGGATGGATGGCAGGCAATATGGATGAGTCTCCATTAGGAGACTGGGAAGATGCATGAATGGATGGGTGGGTGGATGGTGGATAAATGGATGGACAGATGGACAGGTGTATGAATACATGTGTGTATGTATATAGAGATGGGTGGATGTCAGTATGGCTGGGCCAATGGAGGTTGGAGAGATGGAAGGATAGATGGGTGGATGGGAGTATAGATGGACAAATAGACAGGTAGATGGATTGGTGCATGGATGGATGAATAGGTAGATGGATGAATAGATGGATAGACAGACGAATGCATCCTACATATTGAACTTGTAGTCTCCATGTTATTAACATCTTTTTATCGGTCGTGGGGCTTGAACTTAGGGCCTGGGCTCAAGGCCAGCACTCTACCATTTTGAGCCACAATGCCACTTCTGGTTTTCTGGCTTTGAACTGTGACCCTCATATCTCAACCTCTTGAGTAACTAGAACTACAGATGTGAACCACCAGCTCCTGACACAAGGCTGGATTTTATAGGTCACTCCTTTCACTCTTGGGACTACCCCCACCTCCTTCCCCCACTCTGCCCTGAATACCATCCCTCTGTATGTGACACTTGAGGCTTTAGGGATGGACCTGGACCCCTCAGAGGAAGAGCAGCTAGTGCCACGCTGTGCCAAAGGCTTTGCTTACTGCAGCTGGAAATGCAGGCACCTTCCACTCCTTGAAGGAAACAAACAGAACACTACCCCATGCATTTAGGCAGGAAGGTATCCTCCAGTAGCTAAGAGATCAGCTTCTTAGTGAGAGAACACCCTGTTGAGAGCCAACAGTAAAGCTCTAAGGTCATCTTGACCCCTGTGTTCACTTGAAGGCATGTACAAGGAACTGGCTTTTATGAAAAACACCAGGTGCCCAGGATTGCTTTGCTATGTCTGCAGAGTTTGTTTTACTTTCTACCAATTGACCTTGTCTTGTTTTTACTGCACTTTGTTTTTATTAAAATTTTCCTTGTTTGGGGCTGGGAAGGTGGCTCAATGGTAGAGCACTTGCCTTGCATGCTCAAGGCCCTGGGTTCGATTCCTCAGCACCACATAAGCAAAAAGAAAAAAAGCCGGAAGTGGCGCTGTGGCTTAAGTGATAGAGTGCTAGCCTTGAGCTGAAGAGCTGAGGGACAGCGCCCAGGCCCAGAGTTCAGGCCCCACTACCAGACCCCCCTAGAAAAAAATTTTTTCCTTGTTTTTCTGCACTATGGTTACCTCTTGACTTCTAATAGTATATAACAGGGAAAGTTAAAAATAAACGGGGCTGCAGTCTTGAGCTGCAGACCTCCCGACCCCATCCTTTGTCTTATGTCTTTATTTTTCCGTCCTCGCCCCTAATTCAGGATTCCCTTTCGTTGCCGGCAGGCTCCTGCAAGTGGCGCCCGAACAGGGACCTGAAAACCTGGGATCAAGGCAGAGGACCCCGCTAAGGTAAGAGGGTGTCCAGAAATAGAGAGTGGGAGAGAGTATAGTCAGGAGTAAGAAATTATGGGGCAAGGTAACAGCCACTCAAGGAGTGAAAGACAGAGTCAGTTAGAATGTTTCTTTCACTTTGTTGAGGAAGTATACCCCTGGTTCCCGGAGGAAGGAACCATTAGTTTAGAAACTTAGCAAAAAAAATGGAAAAAAGGATTCAGGAGCACTATGATGCAAATGGCCTATAAGTTAAAACATTGCTGCTGTTATCTGTTATTGTCTGTTATCTGTGTAGCCAGCAGGTTCTCTATTGGGGTTGGCAAGAGGTCTTGGCAGACACACTGTTAGACAGCCAATGGGTCCAGTGGGAGACATCCCCCGGATCCCCATCAGGGTAAACTATCCACTAGTGCGGACATTTGGGCCCGTCTGTAGTCTGGTACCTTCTGTCTGACATTTACGTGCACTCTGTAAATGTGTTTTGTCTCAATGTTTGTGTGTAGGTAATCTGGAATTCTTGGAATGTTTCTTCTCTCAGATTCATCCTGATGCGAGAGCCCGGAGGAGACTGGCTAACACCCTCTCAATATCTGGTTCTCTCTAGCTCCTTCTTTTTTCCTTACACTTTAAACTGACCCCCTTTCTACCCTACACTGCCACCTCCTCCACCCTCTCTGGATCCAGAAGTAGGAGGGTGGTAGGGGGTGAGAAACCTGGAGGATCTAACAATAACTTAAAAGGGCTGGCAGGGAGAACTCGCAGCCGGATAAAACTGCCACTGACCACCTGCAAGTGACACCAGCAAGATCTTAGCCTGGGGCCTTGGCCCAGGGGGTCTGAGTATGGGGAGGGGGTCTGAGTATGGGGGAGAACCTGTCAGTCTGAGGGGATGGCCGCTAGGGACTTCTTTCCCTTGACCCAAGATGACTGGGAATTCTCCTCCACCTTGGAAGGCCCCTGGGTCAACGTTTGCAGGAATCTAAAAGAAAAATCCTCCGGAGGTGAGTAAAGGGGGTTCGAGTCCCCTGGTAAGTGGATTTGAGTCCCACTTGTGAATGGTGGTGAGATGTTGCCCCATTCACTGAGACCTGATTTTGTCTTTGTGGCCACTTGTCTGTCTTGTTTACTTCAGTGTGTTTTCTGTTATGTTTTCTGAGGTAGGGATAAACTGGGGGCCCATTAGCCCCCAACTCAGCCTTTGGTTGTTGTCTTGTCAGTTTTAAATGTACGTACAACTGATTTTGATTTTTGCGTGCTTTAAGATCTGTGTGTGTTTTGTATGTGTTTGTGAACATGTTTAAGATGGGAATTATCAGCATGCTGTAACAATTGGGTGAGTTTAAGTTTAAAATTCAAAAGGTTATGAGGTTAGGACATTATCAAAAATTTTAAAGAATTTTCATATTGTTTTAAATGATTTTTAAGGATTCTTTAACTTAAAAATAAAAAATCTGGTATTTTAAAATGCATAAGGCTGTTTACACTGTAATCAAGTTATCTGGGTTAACAAAAATGCATTGGTTGTTTGGAATTTAGTTCCCTTGTCTAAAATTTGGGGATAAATATTAGAAGTTTAAATATAAAAGTTCGTTTAACACTGTCAAAGACATTACCTGTTCTG